AGCCTGGCCTACACCCTCCAGGAGCTCATCCTGGCCAACAACACCGGCATGGTCGGCCGCCTGCCCGACGAGGCCGCCGGCCTGGCGCACCTCCACCGCGTCGGCCTGCGGGGCACTGACATGAGCTGCGTCCCGGCAGAGCTGGCAGAGGCCCACGCGGCGGAGCGGTCCAAGGGCCGCGAGCCGCCGCCGTACACGTGCTCCGAAAAGGACCTACTGCCCTGCTTCCTGGCCTTCGAGCGCTACACAATCCCCCTTAGCGATAACAGCAAGATGAGCTGCCGTCCCATCAAGAAGCTCGCGCCCGACGAGATCGTCGCCTCCTGCCCGCCGGCCGCGCTGGTCCAGACGCCCGACCCGTCCCTAGATCTTCTCGCCGCGCAGTGGGACCTGCCGCCCTCATATTATCAATACCAGGGCTGCGTGTGCCTGGAGGGGTACAACGCGGCCTGGAGCCGCAACGGCACGGTCCTGCGCTGCCGCCGCCGCAACGACCTGCCTGCGACGAGCTGGGGGCTGATCGCGCTGGGAGCGGCGATCGCGCTGCTCGCGCTGTCGCTGCTGCTGCTGAGCCGGCGGCTGCTGCTGTTCCAGCGGCGCTGGATGCGCGAGGCGGAGCTGAGGCGGAAGCGGCGGCTTGGGGTGCCCAAGGACGGGGCCAATGTTTCCATTGTCATCACCGACATCGAGGCCTATTCAGGTGAGCAACTTGGCCAGATATCTGCAACCGCATCATGGCCAACATCTTCTGCATCATATGCTGTCGCGCGTTGATCCCCGGCTATTGGCTAGGATGGGCTAAGAGAGGGGTGTGTTGATTGATCATGTTGCTTCTCACATTACCCTACGTCAAACGTCGGCCTGGGGTGGCTTGGGGTGTGCCGCCACTCTGGCTCTCACAAGCCGGGGTGTGCCGTCGCGTTGGCTCTCACGGGCCTAGTCCCTTACTCACTGACACATATCCTTGCACAGTCCTGATGAAGACCAGCCCGGCCCTGGCCACCAAGGCGCTGTCGATGCACAACGCGGTTCTGCGCAAGGCGGCCGCCGACAACGCGGGCCACGTCATCGACCAGGAGGGCGACTCCTGGGGCCTCGCCTTTTACGACGCGCAGGACGCCGTGGCCTTCTGCCTGCAGGCGCAGCAGGCCATGCACAAGGTGCGCGGCGCGGCGCGGCCGCGGCCCGGCGGCGCGATGGCGGGCAGTTTGTCTGCTCTTCGGCGGGCGGTGTGCCGCCTCGTTGCAGCTCTGCATCGCGCAGCTGTCCTGGTTGGGGGGGCCGCGCGGTTTGTCGCTGCTCGTGCAGCCCCTGGACCATTCCAATCAGACTCAAAACAATCCCTATCTTATCAATCAGGTTGACTGGCCGACGGGCCTGATCAGCGACGACCTGAGGGCCACCGGCAGCCACACCACCCAGGACAGCGCCCCGAGCCAGCCGGGCGCCCGGGCAGGCCCCCGCCGCAGCCGCCTGCGCCAGCTGCTGGGGGTCGGCAGCCTCGGCCTGGCCTCGGCCGGCAGCGGCTGGCTGCCGGCGCGCCCCGCGGGCCCGCTGGCCACGCTTCCGTCGTTCAGCGGCAGCGGCAGCGAGAGCCACGACGAGCACATGGGCGGCGAGGATGGCTCGCTGAAGGCGCGCAGCTTGAGCAGCAGCGGGCTGTTTGGAGGCCCGCGCGGCGGGAGCGACCCCGGGGACCGCTCCGGCCGCGGCGGCGGGGGCGGGGCACAGCGAGGTGCAGGGGCGTTCCGGCGGGATGGCGGTCAGCGGCAGGCGCGCGGCGACGCGTCGGGCGGCGCGTTCATGAAGCTGCTGATGCGGCAGGGCAGCGACAGCACAAGCCAGGACAGCGTGTTTTACGGCCTCAGGGTGCGGATGGGGGTAGCTACCGGGAAGCTGCCGTTCGGCGATGACATCACGAGGAGCGCCGTGTTTGACCTGGCCAAGGGTGAGAGCCGCCGTGAGAGGACGTGCAACAGCATTTTCATCCCACATTGATTGTGCCCCAAACGCACATGCCTGGGTTGATTGGGTACAACGCCGCTGGCCCGCGGTGTCTCACTGGGTGCACGTTTGTGGCGATTTGCTCATCCACCACGTACCTGTGGGTGGGCATGGCACTTGGCTCCACATGGCGCATGGTTGCACACTGCGCATGTTTGCACATGGCACATGGATTTACATGGTGCATGGATTCACATTGCACATGCATGCACATGGCGCATGGGTTCACATGGTGCATTCACACGATAAATGTGTGTGCATGCGTGCACACCTCCCACCTCCTGCTAGCATCAACACCCGCTCGGCTTGCATGCAACAGCCGGCGGCGCCGGCGGTTCCCTTGCACATGACTAGCTGACCATGCGACTGCCTGCCCTCCTGCCCCGCCG